TAATAAAAAGAATAATATAAAGAATAAATAAGATGATAATGATAACAATGACATTACGATACATCATTTTACATTTATACAATTTCTAACCATAGCTTTTCCTTGTCTCAAGTCTTCCCGTGTTAATTTCCTTGTACGCGCCATTGCGCATCAATATAAGTGAATAAGTGTTATTTTTTCTAGTTGTTTCGATCAAATTCATAATGAATCCTAAACAGGCGAAACGTCGAACTTTTTTTGTTATAAAATTTCAGAGTCTTCATCAAGTTTTTTTTCTTCACGTGCAAATGATAACGATGATGATGATGAATGATAACAATAACGATGATGATGACAATGGCGATGATGATGATGATGTCAGTAACACCAATAATACTTGTTAATTCTAATACTTGTTATAATACCAATAATATACTATATTTTCTTTTTCATTAAAAAAATTCGGCTCGGTCCATAAATAAGGTTACGTTCAACTGTGAAATTCTTGTTAGAGTCATGTTACATAACACTGTCTTAGTGATAAGGAAACTCCCGCTTAGCTCCTGAAATCAATGTTTGCTGGTTCTCTTGTTGGAATGAGTAAACATGCAGGAGGGGTTTGCTGATGGGGGTTTTTGGGTGGGTTTTTTCATGTTTTACATTGCTGAGTTGTTGTTGTTTTTTGGTCGATGTGTGTTGAGTGGTGCTGTGGATAAGGGGACTTTTGAATGCTGGGATGGATCTGATCTGTGATTGCAGCTTATAATTGAAATAAAAACCCTGCTCTCTTTTGCTCATTTGTCTATATGTTCGTTTGTTCGCTAGCGTAACGATAAGCCACATCGACAGGATAACGGTCATTTAGAAATATGAAAAAACCACAAAAACCAAACACACACAGACATGATTTCTGTGCTTAAAAGATCTGAAAACTTACTGACGATGCATAATAATAGAGTACTTTTGTGACACTTACTTTCCCTGTCCAGGAAGGAACTGATGCTGAGTTTTTAAAACAAGAGTCAATAACGTTTGTTCTTTATGTCAGCACCATGTATCTTTTTGCTGTGCTGTTAGATTTCATTTGTTGTCACACACACACACATACACA